TCAATATGAATTTCAGGTATAATACTTGAATTATTAATAAAAATAATATATACCTTTATAAAAATATATCTAAGAAACTATACATTTATTTGTTTTGCATATTGTGTCCACATGTTACAGTTATCCCAAATTGTGTCTGCGCTGTCTATGGAAACGAAGGAAAGTGATAAGAATGATTTATTAAATTTAAAATCAAATCTTCAAGAATTAATTGACTTAACTAAAGAAAATTTAGAAAAGCTTGAAGGAATTGATGGTGAAAGTTCAAACATGCCTGAAAACAAGGAGAATGACGAAGATGATGAAAATGACGACGATGATCCATTGGCAAATGAATATGCCTTATTTAAGGTAATTGTTTCACTTACATATTGTTTAAAACAAAATCAATAATTGATTGTTCATTGTAGGCAGAAATAGAAGATTGCTCAAATAATTCAAAAAGTGTTGAGCAAAATAGTGAAGCTGCAGGTGCTTGGAATGATATAGAAGTCAGTACGATAATATGTGGTATGGCATAGCAATGATACAATTATACGGTGCAAGTTAATCTTCTAGGATGAATTGAAGCAACTTGAGGGAATGAAATGTAGAGCTCGGCTTAATAACAATTGGGATAGTGGTGGTTATCACAATGCTATGATATGTTCAGTCGATAGGAGTACAAATCCAACGTTGAAATCTATGCATGAAATCAAGGTTAATCAACATTATTATAATAGTTCTTTAACTTTAAGAAATAATTTCAAATTACCTTTTATTTTTATTCAATTTTTAGAATAATCTATAATAAATGTTGAATTAAGAGATATTTCAGGCAGACCGATATTTGGTGCACGTTTGTTTCAGAATTATGTTCATAACGTTCTATTAATAATTCTTACATCATTATTAAATAGGTCAGAGTGCTCTTTATTAATCCAACACATAAAGAAATGCTTCCATGTCCATATTTCTTTGATGGAAATTGTAAGTTCTCAGACGATCAATGTCATTTTTCACATGGAGAAATAGTACCATTTTCCAATCTGCAGGAATATAAGTAAGATATTTATTTTATCAATCAAAGTATATTTTCTTTTCTTCTTAATTTTTGTTTAAATTGCAGGGAACCTAATTATGAAAATATTAAAATAGGTAGTAGAGTATTAGTTAAACAAAACAATAATTTATGGTATAGATCAATTGTTATTAAAATGCCTGATGAAGTCGAAGAAGTTGTTCGTGTTAAACTAGAAGCAAAAGGTGATGTCGTAGAAGTAGGTTTGCAAGATCTTGTACCTCTTGGTATGTATTATAAACATGTATACACATATATACTATATAAACATTAACTGTACATATAACAAATTATTGAATTATTTTATAGATACTAATGATTCAGAAATATCTGATGAATCTGATGATAGTGATGAAATTGATAACAATGAGAAAGATTATACTACAGAAGCATTAATAGATAAATCTTTACTAATGACACCGACTACTCAACCCTTAGGACATTGGGAAAAACATACACGTGGTATAGGTAGTAAATTAATGGCAAAAATGGGTTACGTGAGAGGTACAGGTTTAGGGAAATTAGCTGATGGTAGAATAGAACCTGTTGAAGCCGTAGTATTACCACCTGGTAGATCTTTAGGTAAAACATGACTTTGACTATTAGTACAGTTTCTAATTAATGATATAAATCTATCTATTATATGATCATATTTTATAGATCATTGTATGGAGTTACGTGAAATAGCTGGCAATGATAAAAATTTATTTTCTGCTGAATTTAAAATGCGTAAAAAGCAACAAAAGTTAGAACGACAAAGACAAAGAGAATATGAAAGAGAAAAAGAAAAGGAGCAAAGTAATATATTCAATTTCTTAAATGCAACATTAAATACAACATTAGCTGAAAGTAAGTGTGTAAAAAATATAAAATATATAGTTTATGCAAACATGAACCTCTGTATTTAGTTCACAAATTAAAATATCTATAAATTTTTGTTCCTTTCAATTTTACAGACAAAAATAAGGATGTTGCCAGTACGTCAAAATCTAAATGTAATTTGAAAACGGAATCAAATTGGAAATTAAATGTTGCAAATTTTCAAGTAGGCGAAGATATTACCCGATTGGAAAGAGAATCATTAAAACTTAAAAATTCAATGACGAGACATTCAAAAGATAGCGCACCTTATAAAAATATTCTAGCCCAATATAATGAGAAACAAAAGAAACTTACTGAATTACGTGCTTGTGAGAAAAATATTGCTGCTGAACAAACTCAAAGAAAAAACAAAGCTAAATTGTCTATATTTTAAGAAAGATAATAAAAATATATAGAAGCACATATGTTTGATACCTATCCAAAGTAAATAAATAAAAAATTCTATACAGAATAAATATATATATATATATAAATCCACGTACAAATAATCGCTAAACTAATGTAACTTTTATTGGAATAAATAATATTTCAGAATATTTTGCTTTACTTACATCTACTTACATATATGATAAATTGTAAAAATATTTCACATTTTCTTCACATATGCAATATACAGTTATGATTTAAATGATAATAATATTAATCATTGCAATAAAATCGTATATGCATTATTTTATTTTAATTTAATTATTACTTGCGATAAAATTACTTACTTATAAATGAATATATGAAGAAAGTTTCAATTCGAGATCTTACATTTCAAATATAACCGTTACAGTCAGAAATATTTAATATAAGTGACTATAAAATTTTAAAAAGTATTTATAAAATTATTTATGAATATGAATAATATTCATATTAAAAGAATAAATAATTTTTGCTTGTTTGCATTTTAAATGATATCTTCGATTTTGTAATAAATTAGAATATAAAAAAATCACGTAGTGATTGTTATTATATTGGACAGTCACGTGGAGAGTTATTATTATTATTGACATGGCGGCCCCCTATGAGAAGTGAGTGTATACAGTTAACTTAATAAAAATATTTATTATTAAGAATAAAAAAAAAGAAGAACATCTATAGATTCAATTATAAAAATAACTATTTATTTTTATTTATAGATTAGAAAATTGCGAAGTATGTAATGCAAACAAAGCAAAATATACTTGTCCAAAATGTGAGGTTAGGACCTGTTGTCTTACATGTGTTAATATTCATAAAAAAGAACTCGAATGCGATGGAATTCGAGATAGAATGAAATTTAAAACATTAGACAAGTTTACTGATTTAGACTTGTTAAATGGTACGTTACTTTAAGTTATTAAATTACTTATGTTTTGAAACATACTGTACTACAAGAAATAAAAATTATTTAAATTTCAGATTATCGACTACTTGAAGAAATTGGCAGATCTGTTGACCAAGCAAAATATAATCCATTAAAAAGATTTTCGCGATACTCCGAATTGCCAATGGTATGTTGTCAATATTTTTTTTGTATGCTTTTTATAAGTATAAAATTATAATTTATGAACAATATTGCAGCATTTAAACCGACTCAGGAAAGGTGCTTATTCTAGGAAAGTTAATCTCCGTTTCATGCCACAACATTTTACTAGACATATAAAGAATACAACATTTTTTAAATGGAATACAAATCAAATTTTTTGGAGAATAGAGTGGATATTTCCACAAGCAGATAATATAGTACAGATCACAGAAAGGTATTTTAATATTTTATACATAAATAAATATAATTTAAAATTGTTTTATACATTAAAAATTATTTTTATTATCATTAGAGCTTTAGAAACAGTTCGTTTGTCAACACTTTTAGAGCAAGTTTTGTATCCTCTCAATGGAACAGAGGAAACAAGTAATATCGAAGAACTAAATTCAAAATTAAGTTTGAATAACAAATTACAATTTTATCAAGCTGCCGATTTTAGTGGATTAAAAGTTCTTCTTAAAACTGAGCAAATAGAAAAATCTAATACTAGGTAATGAAAAAAAAAAAAAATATATATATATATATGTGATTTTATATATACTGTAAATCAAATATTGAATTACTTCAATAACAATGCGATATACATTTCAGATACCACGAGTTAGATGTATCACTTACACTGAAGGAAAATTTAGAAAATAAAACTGTGATAGAATTTCCAATATTATACGTAGTTTTGCAACATCATATAGATATGTATGAAATTGTAGACACAGGTAAATATTATAAAATATTTCGTATATTTATAATTCATATTTAAATAATAATAATAATAATAAATGGATTATAATTCTTGGATATTTTTTCCAGACGATGAGGAAATTTTCCCTAAGAAAAAATTGGAACGAAAAAATAAATGGTCGTCTGCAGACAAAGACAATAACAAAAAACAAAAGACAAATGAACCCGTAAATTATTTTTTTAATACTACTACTATAGAATCTGATGAAGAATTAGATACTCCGAGTGATAAACAACAAGACAGAGGGCACAATAGAACACAGTCTAATTTTGATATACCTAAATATGAAGAACTGATCAATACAGAACAATAGGTACGGTACAATATATTATATTATTGTATTATTATTTATATATGGAAGTAATTTTAACAAGAAAATTTAAGTAAATTTATACTCGTTAATTTATATGCTCTAATAATTTATTCGTGGCAAATGCACGGTTAAAATTTATTTATCGAATTCTAATATTTTTTTTTTTTTTTTATAAATACTATCTTCAGTAAACTGGTACAATTTGATAAAAACATTACAACATTAATAACACATACAATCAAATATTATTCACATGTTTGATTGATTCTTTTTCCATCAAATTTAATATGTATACTTATATATATTTAATTCCTTGTACATTACCCAAAAAAAATACTATAATTATTAATAAATAACTTAAAAGTAATAATCCAAAATTATAGGAAATGCGATGTAAATAAATGTTCATAAGTTGAAATTATAATAATGAATTTACAAGTGATAACTTTGAAAATTGATTTATATATAATATATATTTAAAACGAAGTTAAATCATCTCTTGTGTTTTCTATTAAAATTTCTATTATTTTATTAATATTAAATTAAAAATCAATGTATAATACACAACATTGTGTCGATACATACAGGCTAATAAATTTGATAAATAACAATGTAGCCTGATCGTGTAATTCCTATATTTGAAAAATAAAATCCAAAGATGGTAGCCGCAAACCCATTTTTTTAACCCTCATAATAAAGTATGTCCCTAGTTTTTAGAATTGGAACAATTTTCATTTATGGACAAACCATTTTTTCAAGTTTGTGATCAACTAAAGAATAAAGAAATATAACAGGAGGACCAGAAATACGACGATAATAGCAACTGCTTTGACATACATAGATTTGCTATTTAAATGTGTTGCATCTTTCTTATACTTCTGTGATAGCATTGACAAATTTTGCGTTTTTGTATCCAATTCTGCAAATGATGAAAATTATAGTGGTACGTATGCATACATATATATATAATTATATCGTTTTATAAAATGATATTAATTTACCTGAAAGTACCGTTCCTCTTTGTAATACATCATCAATATTTTGAACCATGATCCTTTGAACATCTTGCAATTGAGTGTTAAGAGCATTCATATTCCTACGTGATCTACCATCTGAGAATACTTTTTTAGCTTTTTGAATGTAAGTGTCTAAAGAAACAAAAAAATTCATGTTACATTATATAAATGAATATTGAATATATGTAATACATTATTAAAATTTGGATTACATACCAAATTCAATAAAAGCATAAGGCCTAGCAACGGTATTGACACGTTTACCATACTGAGCATGAAATTCCTGTGCTATATCTTCTAAATAACTGTAAGCTATTCGTTTACTATAATTCCTTTCACATAATACTAAGTAACATACCTCGTTTTCAATTAAATAACTGCAAAAAAAAATGATGATTAAAGGTACGCTTACATATATATTTATATGTTTTATTTAATTATGATAAACTTACTGAAAGAGATATGGTCCAGTTTCTATAGTACATCTTGTAGGTGACTGTATACCTAATTTTCTAAACAACATTTTCGCTTGATTTTGATATTCCAAAGTACTTCTTTCACTCTAAACAAATGCAAATGGTAAAATAAAAAGAATGCAAAATTAATTACATTTTCTATTTTACATATATAATGATAATACTTAATTATTAACATAATTTAACAAAGATCTAGTTAATACTGAAAAATAATAGGTTAATAAAAAAAAAAAAAAGATATATTTTATATAAAAATGATACAAATTTCATGTCATAATTAAAATACAATTTAATTATAATTTAAAGTGACATTTCATCATAACAGATTTCTAACCTGTTCATCTTCCTGCATGGTAGCTGCCAATGGCAGACCATCTGTTATTCTTGCTATCATTGTTAGTAATACCATTTTATTATAAATTAATTAACAATTCAATCTGAAACAATAATAATCACACAATATCTTTGTTTTCACGTTCGAAAGTTCAATATTCAACATCCATTTAGGCGCAACTGATCGTGGATGTGGCCGATTCACTAACGTCCAATTGCAACCTACCACGTCAGTAGATAACTTTTCATTAACTACGTTGCACATTTTTCAAGTTCCTTAACATAAAATATTTAATTAATTAGTAGCATTCATAATATATATATGTATACATATACGTCAATATTGTAATATGGTTTACATAGAAATTTTCGTAATAAATAAATAAAGAATTAGTAAAATAAAGTCAATAACATGACAATATAAATTTATTAGATAGTCTAATATTTGTATTGTTTCTTTTGGACAATAAAAAGCGCGAGATTCATAGTTATCAAATAAATCAATGACATAATCTTGCTTTATACTTTTTTTTATCTAATTACATTTTACATAAGGTGTATTCTCCAATCCTAAAACAGCTTGTGATTATTGCTTTATAATAAGATGACAATCATTTTATAGAATGTAAACAAATAAGAAGGTATTTAATTTTCAAATTTATTTCTAATTGCGACATCTGATCAGATTTTATTACAATTAATTTAAACGTTTAAAAGATAAGATATGTTATCCAATGTTTTGTTAACAAAATAAAATGGATTATCCGATTAAATCCAATTAATGGATTTTATTCAAGATAGTAGATATTTAAAGTCAGACACGACGTGCATTTGAAAATTGTATACATATATTTATATATATATATATATATTTTGTACAATATGCAATATAAAATGCATTAGTAAAACGTACAACTAGCGACGTCTAGTAGCAAATTAAAAGAAACTTCGATAGACGTTTGTGCATTACTCGTCCAACTACGATGCGTCTACGGTTCTGCTCACGTGGAAAGTCAACGAGGAAAATTTGTGACGTGCTTAACCCACATCCACACGGATGTAAGGTATCCGTGAATATATAAATGTATGCGTTGTGATTCCCTTTATCTGATTTTCGGTCAAAAACGTATGTACTAAACTAGTTAACGAATTGCTTATTTGTCCCTTATGCGTGCAGTATTATCTTGACAGTTGACCTTTCGTGTTCGTATAATGTGTAAACTTGTTTATGGAAAAAAACACGAAAGACTATAGCTAGGTGAGTGAACGTCCAAAGGTCCATGAACGCAATGGGGCCCCTTTGAGTTTCACCAGCTGGTACACTGTCTCTATTCGAGACACATACAAATTTCGTTATTACATGATCACTTTTTGCAATCGAATAACATAATTACTGGAATGTATCAATTAAATCTTTCCAACAAGCAAAGAAGCAACCCTGAAAATCCGAACCACCCAAAGGATTATTTTTCTTCAGGATTTTCAGAAGAACACTCGCAACAAATACATTCAGGTTATATTGGTGGTGTTCAAAATATTGTTACTCCAGATAATATACTTATGCCAACTGTAGATTATACTAAATCCATGGAGAGTTTTCAATCTGTTGATGCACAATCTATTGCTCCTCATGAACATGCAGTTTCAAGCATGTATCAGACGAATGCCAACAAAGCTGCAACTGATAATGCACCACCTAATATGGTATATGATCAATGGTATAACAATAATGCTATACCACCACCAATTGAAAACTCATGGTTTTCAAAAGATAACATTCGTGGATCAAAACAATGGCCTGAACAAAGTGTTGAAAATTACGAAAACATTCAACAGCCTTCCGAATTTGTTAATTTAGAAGTAGTTATACCTGCCCTAGAAGAACGTGATATATATGGATCTCGAGATTCTATAAATAGGGAAACATTAGATAACGATCCTAAAGTTCTTGCAAATCTTCAAAAAGAAACAATTAATGTACGTGAATATAGACAAGAAGTAAATAATATCGAAGTTCCTTCTATACAACAACACACGCAAGGTCATCGATCTTTACAACAGGAACAAGTATGTTTTTTTTATCAATTACAATATTTTTTTGCATTAATAATATAATATGAATATACACACACATTATTGAATGATGATTATAATTATAAATTTGATTTTTAGGCCTTAAACAATTATGAATTTGCTTCAAACGATAGAAACACATTTTTAGAAACAGGAGAATTAACAGATTCTCATACCGATCATGAATTATCTCCACCGAATCAGGATGATGAAAATGATGAAGTTCCAAATGATATTCCTTTTCTACGTGAAGTTCCTGGTCAATCTAGTTCCATTGATCCTAGAAATGATAGAAATGATCCTGCCGGGCAAGAGCAATATATACAATCTGGTCAGCGATTATCTGACCCAAGAAGAAATGATCCTTCTGGACAAGAACAAGGATTACAAATTAGAAATATATCTGACAGATCCGAACGTAGAGATGTTCCACCTGGTCAGGAAAGAAGTATATCTTCTCTTTCTCGAAGTGAATCGGATACATTAGAACGTCAGAATGATCCTTCTGGTAGAGAACGTTCTTTACCTCCACAACAATCTAGAAATGATCCATCAGGGGAAGAGAGATATCAAGTACAATCTCAAATAATGCTAGAATCGAGTGAAATACGTGAAATACCTGGAAGAGGCAACGAACTCGAGGATGTTGCTCAACAATCGGATGGAGGACTTAGACAAATTCCAGGAGGTGCATCTCCTAATGAAACCATTCAATCTTCGGATGATAGATCTACAGGAAGAGTAGTTACAGGATCTCAAGAAGTTCCTTTATCTATTCGTAAGTATATTAAAAAATGTTTAAATATATGTCAACATTATATGTCGATCATTTGATTATTTTTCATATTTCTTAATTGAATATTTCAGCCTCTGTTTCGGACCAACCGAGTGATTCTAGAAATAAACGAGAAGAAGCAGTTGGAGCATCTGAAGGAGGTAATCAAAGTGTTCAAGTACAATCTATACGTAAAGATTCTTATGAAAATGAAGATGATGAAGGATCTGGTAACAGTAGAGAAGATAGTAGAGAAAGACACAGAGATACAAGTCCTGATCGTAGACGTTATGATTATGAAAGAAAGAATACATAGTAAGTTGTTATATTAATATTTATTTATAAATTAATTATTAATATTTTTTTTAAAAATAAATTTTTTACAGTTACGATCGTGAACGTGAATATGATGATGATTATTATTACGATCGTCGACGCGGTGTAGATAATGAAAGACCGTACAATGATTTCGAACGTCGAGACCTTTCTTATAGAGATGACGATCGTAAGCATCATAGTCGTGATGATTTAGATCGTCATCCAAGAGATGAAATAGAAAGAAGAAACAGAGTTAAAGATGAGCCAGATGATGGGAGAAGAAGACAAGATGATCCACGTAGAAGAGATAGGGGTGATGATCCACGTAGAAGGGACAGAGAAACTAGAGATTATGATTTGAGGTATGCTAGGGATGCTAGGGATAGAGAATACCCTGGTCGTGAAAGAAGAAGGGACGACAGACGACCTAGAAGATACGATGATTACGATATTAGAGATCCGTATAGAAGAGAATATTATGAAGATCCTTATAGCAGAAGGTATTTTGAAATATAAATAGAAATGTACAAATGTTTTTATTATTATTTTCGAAGAATGAAAAACTTTGTATTAACTGTTGAATATAATTATTTTCAGTTCTAGACCTTCTAGCAGATCTTCTTACAACGACAGAGATAGGGAATATTACATGCGTTCTAGAGATCCTTACTATGCTTACAATGGTAAATGATATGTCAAAGTAGAAGAATATATATTTTTTTATCAGAAAATTATATGTTTATTATTTTATTTTTTTTCAGGATATGGTGGATACGACTATAGTACTCATTATGGTAACAATTATTACGCATATCTTGAGAATTTACGTCGTACCAATCCAGCTGCTTATACAGAATGGTATCACAAATATTATGCTAGCCAGCATCAACAACAAATATCTAGAGGTGTTAGTAATTATCCAGAAGATAGGGCTAGTGTACATTCAGGACGCAGTTCTTGTGAGGAACGGTAAGCACTATTGATTAATTTTTTGAATCTAATAAATGTATAATAACTGAATGCATAAGTGAACATTCTAAGTCTTTTTATAAACGTCTGAATCTTGTAATATATCAGATTTTGTACAAATTCAAGTGCATGCTTCCATTCACCAAACAAAGCTCTATACGTTTCATATTTTGGTTATCCTGAATGGGGGAAGAATTTTCCACAGAGAAGAACTTCTAGTCACAGTTTGAATAGGTGAGACCGAGAGACCTATTTCTCTCGGTTTAGCATTAATATTTGCCAGAATATGTAGAACGTATTATTAGTTATTTAAAATAAATTGTAGTCTGTAATGTGATAAAAGTTAGAATTTGTTTATCAATATAAATATCATGTTATACAAACGTATCTAAAAGTTTAATTTTGGTAGATAATATTTGGTGAAAAAAGTTTCTTTTATTTGAACTTTAGTATATATACTTTTTGTCACATTATAATTATTATATGTTGTAGCTAGGACAATGCTTTTAATAGGTTTTTATTTTTTTATAATGTGAATAATATATATCATATACGCTGTAATTTATGTATTGTAATATGTATATTGATTTTTTTTCTTTAAATAATGAAAAATATTGTGAAAGATATAACAACACATTAGGTATTATTTTTAGAACCACTGGAGATAAACGAACCTTAGCTCATATGTCACAGTTTGAAGACTCAACAACAACATCTGCACGACTAACACCAACAAAATTTTCAACTTGCCATGTATATGGTAAAGTTTTATTATTATTTTGTAGTGCAAATATTGTATTAATACTTATCGATTATAGTTTAGGTATATAAAATATACTTCATTATTTTTATAAATAATATATCTTATTTTCAGGATCTTTTTCTGTCGGATCAATAATACATGTTCAACCTAGTTATCCAGCTGATGGTGAAAGAGCTAAAGTGGATATTATACGTGTGGAAAATCTACTTTTTCATGATCCTGTTGCACGTGATTTACGTGCCTATCCGGGACCTCTAATTAAGCAAGTGTAATTAATAACATTATATCTTATGCATGTGTATATCTTGGATTAATTTAATGTTTTTGTTATAATCTTATATTGTTATAATTTAAATTTAATGAATTGTGACATTTATTTTGCAGAGGAGTAACGCACAAAAAAACCATAATTAAATACTGCGAAAATAAAATTAAAACAGCAATAGCGAACGATGATATGATTGATCGCGCTTCTTATATACTTTTATATGAATTAATGATTATGCTAATCCAACAAAACGGCGTAAGTAATTTTTATGAAGAATAATTATATATTGAGAAACAAGAAAAGTAATTTAAATTATAAAATCATTTTCAGAATGTTGTCGGTGTTGATATAGCAGCACTTTTACTTAGAAATAAAGATGCTTATCCTTATGATGTAAATAAACCAAAATTGCAAGATACAGGAAGAAGAGAGTCTGTGATGTCACAGCGATCTGGAACAAGTGCAAATGGAAATAATGGAGATAATCTATTAACTACTGAAAAAGTAGAAAATGTCAAACAACAGAAAACTGTAGAACAAATGACAGATGAATTTAGAAATACACTTCTTTATGGATTAGTTCAAGAAGCATTAGGTATATTTGTATTCATATATATATATATATATTTTATTAATTTAAATCTAGTAGTTACTAATATAAATTTATAATGTTTTGCAGAATATGCTATGAATGAAGGATTATGGGGACATGCACTTTTTTTAGCTAGCAAATTGGATAAGCGTACTCATGCATCTGTAATGACACAATTTGCAAATAGTCTATCACCTTCTGATCCATTACAAACTTTATATCAGTTGCACTCAGGTCGCATACCAACCATTGTAACAGTAAGGATTTACTGTTTTTAATGTAATTGGATTACGCATATAATATAATTAATACATTGATATTGATTTCTATTTTGTAGAGTGTAGCAGATCCACGATGGGACGACTGGAGGCCTCACTTAGCTATGATTATTTCAAATACATCTGCTAATCCTGAAATTAATCGACGATCAATAACAACACTTGGAGATACTCTTTTTGCAAGAGGAGATATCTATGCTGCTCATTTTTGTTACATTCTGGCACAAGTTGATTTTAGCCCATATGGAGTAAATTCAGCAAAACTTGTTCTAATAGGCTCTAATCATCACAAACCATATTCCGAATTTATGACAACAGAAGCTGTTATGTTAACAGAAATTTATGAATACGCTCGTAATCTTAGCGAACCTGGATTTACTTCGGTAGATCTTCAAACTTTTAAATTTGATTTGGCAGTCAAAATGGTTGACTATGGCTTGATAGAAAAAGCATTACTTTATATAGAACAAATTGCAGTTAATATTGTTAATGAACCGTCAAAATATAAAAGGTCTTTTATTATGTCAGTTTATGCATTGGGTGATAAAATTAAATATCATGATCCTGTATGCAAAGATTCTACTGAAGATGCTACTAATCTTATTTGGTTAAATAATTTAGCACAGATTGTGAATAAATATCAGGTATAATATTTCGTATTATATTATTGTAATTAACAAAATTATAATATTAAGAAAAAAATCATTATTTTCCATAATATTATAGATAGGAGAAATAGTCGAAAGTAATACATATGAGTCACAAGTAAACGAAGATTTACAGAGTCCAGAAATCCATGATAATAAATTACAAACACAGCAACAACAAATACAACAACAGTGGGGACCTAATCAAACTGAGTACAGAGATAGACCAACGTCTGGTATGAATACTAAAGTGCAGTCAGACTGGGAACCATTATCATTACCATCAACTATACAGCAAGATACATACGATCAATCTACACAATACATGCGTAATAATGAAAATAATCAATATCAACAACCTCAGCAACAAGATTATTGGAATCAACAACAAACATATTATCAAAATAACTTTGGTAGAAATGATGGTGCAGTTAGTTGGCAGCAACAGTCTACTCAAGCTCAGTACGCTGACGATCAGCCTGACATGGATAATTCTCAACAACAAGAAAACTGGAACTATGAGGTAAACTGAATATTTCTTAATAATATTTTATAAGATATACTTAAAAGAGTGGCATTTTTCATATAATCATTTGCATATGTACACATATATATGTAATATTGTTTTATAATTATATTTTAATTACTATTACTCATTTTTAATTTTGTCTGTGTGTTTGTCCATTTTAAGAAGCTTTTATTTCCTGATTTTAAATATCAATGCTTTAAATGCAATTAAGATAAATTAGGAATATAATATCTTATCTATTTCTTAATGCTTGCATATGGACAGACGGAAAGAGAAGAAAAAACATCTACTCCTGAAGTAAGTAATTACACGCTTACTCTGGGTAATAATCTCAATTCTGAATGGCCATTGGATGGCAAGAGTAATAGCACCTTACGTCGCCGTAAAGTACTGACTACATTAGATTCCTGCGCCTCTTCTGAAACATCACTTTTAAATAGTATATCACAATCTAATTCTACTACAATGGTTTCACGCTTTCATACCCCTGCAAGTTCTGAAATTAATGTCGAAAAGTCTAAAAAATTTATTAAATATCCTAAAATAACTACCACTTATCCAAAAATTTTAAATGCTAATAAAATTCATCCAAAAGATAATATACCAAAATCAAAGAAAATTGATCCGAAATATATTAAGCCACCTTCTTCGCAATCTCCTGTTTTCTTGAAATGTAAAGTAAAGAAAAAGATTACAGATGATACGAGCGAAGAAGAATCAAATCAAAAAATAAAAATTCATTCACAGAAAACAGATTTAGATATTCAATTTGATAGTGCACAATTTCATTCTTTTGATGATTCGTTCGACACGTTATCAGAAAATATACATTTAAACAACAACATTAATAATAACGATAATACTAATAATAATAATAATAATAATAATGGTCAGACATTAGAGCAGTATTGTACTTTTGAAGAAAAAAAGGTTGTAAGAGTTGCACCTCACATTAAAAGAAAAGATGTAATTTGTGATACAGTAGATGCATGGTCATATTCTAACAGTAAAGATTTATCTCAATATAAACCATTAATATTTAGAGGAACTTATCCAATAGATATACCAATTTCATCTGAAAACAATCATTATTCATTAACAACTACAGATTCTGTTCAGGGACATATTTCTAAAAATTATGATATTGATGTTCCTACATATTGTGAATAGATTATATAATACCAAGAGAATATTTAGCGTATTTCTTATATTAACATTATTATTTCATTTCTATATAATAAAATGAATAGTGTTGTTAATTATACTGTGCCAGTATCGTGGCTATTATAAGTTTTTTTGTATAAAAATATGAATATTATTTAGTATCATATTATGTGTGAAGAATTTGTACAGAAAATGTTTTCAAATATTTTATTAGAAGTTGCATTATATTATAGTTTATGTATTCATTATCACACAATGTGTATGTGTATATATAATACATATACATTTTATAAATATACATATATGAACACACAAATATGTTATTATGGTAAGCAGAAAATAAAAATTATTATACTATGTGATACCACTGTGTTTTGAAACATTTATATTTGCCTTTATTCTTAATTAAAAAAAAAAAAAAAAATGATATATTTGTGTTTCTATAAATATTGTTATTATATTATTAGTACAAGTAATACAAATGATTTATTTTCAACTGATAAATATATATATATATATATATATATATATATATATATATTAAATATGCGAAACAAGAGATTTTCTTGTTATTTATTGCATAAATAAATAATTTTAATACTTATGCAAAATAATTAGACATTAACTTATATACGATGAAATTTAAAGAACAAATTTGCGATTATGACTTATGTATTTCATTTCAGCAAATGCAACCAGCAATTTCTATGACACCTTCCTCGGGTAAACAATATGATCCATTAGAGGAGTTAGATGCATTAGAAACACCAAAACAAGGTGCTAAATCTACTACAGAAACTAAGAAGACATCTGATAAAAATAATGAAAAGAAACAAACTAATGGAGGTAGTTCATGGTTTGGAGGTCTTTTCAGTAAATTAGCCCCGAAACCACGTAATCAAATGATACTACCAGATGATAGTAATCCTACGGTAAAGTATTTATGATAAACTATTTATTTTTTTTTTAAATAATAGAAAAGTTACGATAGACAATTTTATGTTTTATGTAACTAAGGGCTTACGCGGATTTTTGTGGTAATTGATCATCAGTGATTAAATGGAAGATAAGCAGGCCAGTATTATTTGGCTTTGATAAAATGATTGATTAATTACTAACTTTTTCATTGTTTATTTATCAGTAGAAATTGCATTGTTAACGTGTGAAATATTGCAAGATTTAAACTTCATAAGCCCTATGTATAATTGAATAATCAAAATTATATATAAGTCACAGCATGTTTTACTATAATTCATAATATACATATACAATTAATTGAAATACTTTCTTTTACAGATTGTTTGGGATCCTGTTGCAAAAAGATGGATAAATAAAGATGAAGATGCAGATACCAGTACAACATCATTGCCTCCACCACCAAAAGCAACTGACATGGGTTTTAGACCACCATCAATTGAACAAGTTAATACACCTAAATCTGCAGCCTTGCAACAAAATAAACTAACTCAAGAGGCAAAGAATATGAATGATTCTAAAGTACAGACTAACTACAATATGTTCAAACTACAGAAGGGAAGAAATATGCGTGCTAATTATGTAGATGTAATGAATCGAAATGGTGGAAAAAGTAGTACAACATCATCGAGTGTACCAACGCCTGCAACATCTCCATTTGTACCTATGGCTGTATCATCTCCTCAATTATTCATTCCTGCACCAGGTAAAACAAAATTAATCTATATTTATTTATAGACATTTTTATGATTCATAGGTTTAATGATACAATTACATTTCATTATTTGATATTGCAGTAAATGATCCAAATGCACCCGTTGACTTTTTAACACCAACTCCAGCACCAAGTATACCTGCTACTCACCCCACTGAAAATGTAAATCAAGGAGTAAGTTGGACATAATAATTTACTTTTCTGGATATTATTTTTACAAGTTATTTCAATAGTTAACACATATACATTAATAACAGTACAGTTTCATACAATTTTTCCATCTTAAATAATTTCTATTTGAAACACAACATACACAATACTATTTCTTGTCCTTGCGTTGTGGCTGCAGTATGCTGGTATGCAGCTTAGTTGTTTCTTTCAACATTTTTTGGGAACTGTAATGTTAAAACACTTCAATACCCTTCTTTCCTTTTTCTTTAGAAATTATTTTATCTAAATCAGCTAAAATGAGTTCTAATTTTCCTTTAGACTTGTGTATTTGTATCTATGCACAAAACAGAGCAATAATGATTTAAATATGAATAAAAAGTTAGAAATTTATATTAAAAATATACATTTCTTTAATCTTTTTTGTATACTTTGTAAAAATTAGGATAAAATGAATCATTATATCTCTGTGTGTATGTATAAATATGTTAACTTCTTTTAAATTAATCGTTCCTGTTCATCGTCCAATTACAAAGCAAACAATTTGATCACTTATCTTGAAATAGAAGTAAATAAGATACAAAAAGTAACAGAATAAAGGTTGAATGTGATAAGCAAGTATTGGGATACTAAACATTAAGTTTTGTGTAAAATCTTGTCCAAATTTGAATTTATTAATTGAAAGAACATAATATGATCGAAAGACGATCTATTGTTTCAATAATTATAACGCAGAAGAATAATATTATTCTTATAGAATATTTTCTTGTACATGTGTTTAATCAATCTTTCTTTTTGTTTCCTTTTGCAAGCAGTCGGGGAGGCAAAATGATGTAGCCAAATAATAATTGTTGCTGATAGTAAGAATATCTATTTTATTAATTTTGAGTTATTTCATACCTAACACGCATGTCTTGTCACAATTGCTTAATGTATATATTCACAATATTGGGAGAACTTGTTTCCTTCGTATATTTCAAATTGCTTCTTAAACATGCTGTTATCAAAATAATTATCTTTTTACTCTTTTCTATTGTTGCGCTAGTTTATTTAGTGTATATTTCTATCTTTCTTTCTTTTGAGATATTAATCGATCAAATTTATCTATTATTTTATTATTAATTTCTTTTGCACGTGTATAAACAAACATAATTGTTTGAACGTAAAGCATATTGTTTTAATACGAGCAAAATAATTAACGTATTAATTTAGTATAATTAATGCATGTAGGTACACCTTTCAATAGTATAATCAATCTTATATTTCACAACGTAATGAAAAAATATTTTCAAAGATTTGGATTGATTTATAATCTTATTAGAAACAATCTATTGAAGGGTCGTTAATAAAAACATATAGAAAGAAATTACATGACATATTTTCTGAAACAGTAATATAATGTGCATAATATAAAGTAAATATATATATATGTATATGATACTTAATATTATGACAAGTATTAGTTAGTGAGACAACATTATTATGTTGTATATGGCATATAGCTCTCTCGATGGAGCTCAACCAGCTCATTATCGCGAGAGGTGCAGAGCTACACAATGAGGGATCCGCGCCTTCTTCAAAGGAATAAGGTAATACAATAAGCTAACTTTAAACAGTTATGAAAGTGTGTTCATAAGAAAATATTTGAAAATAATTATGATTATATTTATATACTAAATGTTATTGTATAGAATTTAATACGAGTCTGTCTTAAATTATTTGTAATAAATATAATTCATTAATGTTAAAACACAAATAAGCTACAGCAATAGAGATATATTATAAAGTCATGTAGATATAACATTTTTACATTATCAATTAATATGGAAAGCTTAGGGAGAGCTTGGTGAAGGATGTATATTTGGTTTTGGTCTTGCAATGTATTGTTATGCATTAAGTAATATATCATTTTAATTTAACTGCTTTTTATCACTATTTTGCACATACATTATTTTATATAATTTATATTCCAAAATAAATAGACAATCTTCATTGTTCATATTTTTGTACTATGTTGTAAATACATCAACAAAAATGTGTTATTAATACGCATTAATATATTCTGCATCGAATCGATTTATTTAATTATCAAACGTATACATTTATTTTCATAATTTTAATTTAAATACATATGGAGTATTCAGCATAAAGCTATGTTTTAGTTCATTATAAATAATAAACATGTGTGATGCCGAACGTATTAAAAATATTAAATGATTTATTTTTTAATTTAATGTAATTGTATTAATATGTTTTATTTTTTTAAAGGTTTTTTTTCTTTTTTTCTTTTAAATGTCTATTATAAATTAATATTAAAGATATATTTTATTTTTAAGGACCAATGAACAAACCCGATAATATCAAGGATCGTGTAATGAAGAATGTGCAACATAATTGGATATCCATGATAAGTTCGATTACTTATTCTTATCGAAATAATTGTTAATTAAAAGAATTTCTTGTGTTTCATACAAGTTGGATTTATTATATAAAGTGTATATTATTGGTGTACGGCTGGTTGAAACTCTGTCAACATATTATAGATTTTTAACTTAGATTTCGAAACGAATCCATTTTTACTAGCATAATGATATAATCAGGAATTATGAAATTTTATTATAGATAGAAAATTTAGACAAAATTTCAGAATTATTATTATAAGTCTAGTTATATATTAGTAAAATACAACACAACAACAACAACAACAAAAATAAGCAATTACTTTTAATTTTAGAATTGAAACATTCTGACTATTAATAAGCCATGCAATTATCTTCTTCACATTAAAGGGAATATATTATTCTGTTTAAAAATATCTTTTTATAATATTCCCTCGCGTAGAAAATTACTTTATACTTGAATGAAAACATAAATACAATACTTTTTACTTTCCAATTGGTAATGCATTGATGGTTTAACTCTTAAATATTCTAAATATATTTTTGAAATGCTATTTTTCTGTCAAATAATATCGCTCTCTTTAAAATGAATAGATATTATCATTGAAATCACTATGGTACTTTTGTCATCTTGTTAATATGCTGCAATATTAATTATATACAATTATTTTTTGTTTTAATTTCAAACAATTAATTAATTAATTAATTAAATGCAATCTATAAATATTAAATATTCCTCAGAATGCAAATGCTTGCAAAGGACTACTCATTTATTTAAAAACAAATTATTGCAATTATTAATGAAATTTTTTTTTTTTTTACAATTATATATAATTTATATGAAATATAAATAATTGGTCCTTTGTGAAAACTATGTAATAAATAATGAAAATACTACTGAGTTTATAACATAGTGATTATACAAATCTATGATTATTAAAAAATGGCCTTGGTATGTACTACAATTCCAAGTCTGATTTTATATGCTGGCAAAACTACAAGAATGAAAAGGGTAAACTGAAGGGTGTTAAAACAAACAGAAATGTTATGAATTTTGTCTATTAATGTGTAAGGATGAATAAGTATTGTTAATAATAGATAAATTATTAAGATATTGATACACCAATGTAATGTAACTGCCATCCTATAAGATTGTAAAGGAGAGGAAAAAGGCATAGTATAATATAGTTTTAATGGCGGAATAATGTTGTAGTTCAACAAATTTTTCTAATACTTTCAATACAATTTTAAATATCCTACAGGTTGTGAAATGAGGAAAGTAAAAAGATTGATGTTTCGTGTTTTTTTTTTCTTTTCTTCTTTTAATGCATATTCGTGAATTTTATTATTATTCAATTGAATTACACGTGCGTCTTGTTCGCATTAGCAAGATGGCTGTATATTTGATTGTAAAATTATCTCAGAGATTTAATAACATTATTATCAATAATAACAAACAAATCTGAACTCTACATTACATTTGCATCCATTTCTAAGTAAACTTCTTGCATTACGATCAATATTATATGCCGACGTGAATGAAAACAAAAAAAAAAAAATAATTCAATATGTACAAATATAATGTAAATTTTGAATTGATAAAGGTGTATGCATAACTTTACTACGAATACAAAATGACTTTAAGATTATTTTATTAATTACTCTGCTGGGTGTTTATATTTAATGAAAATGTACATTATTTTTCGATCACTGTTTGAAACTTCTCGTTCGTTAAGCTATTATAACGATGCGATTATTGCAAAATATTTTAAAGTTTCATCATTTTATGGATCTCATTCTTTTTAAATAAGATATTAATGATATCTCTGTATTATACTTGCCAATTAATGGTGCGCTAACAATTTTTCTCTTTTAATTGCTATATAAATTTCTGTATACATTTTTATTCTTATGACATAGTAAATAAATTGAAATACTACAATTTACAAGTTACAAGAGCATGATTACAACAGAATATGTGAAATACCGTGTACTTGTAAATGCATGGTATTTAAAAGATTTGTAAATATTTCAAATATTATAAGTTGTGCTTGGAGAAACATTTGAGAGTCAATTTTACTGTTAATATTTAACAGCAAATTTAATATACAATTCTTCTCATATTAATTAAAGTTGTAAACATTTTCATTAGGACAAATCTTACATATGCAATTTATAAAAGTGCACTGTGCATGTCTAATTTTTGAACTACACATTCAATGATATAACAAAGTAGAGCGTCAGGTTTGAATTGCATTGAAATAATGAGTTATTATATGTTAAGTTTAATATTAACAAGAGCTTAAAATTATTAATATTATGTTCTTGTTATATAATAATACGTTATAAGAATAAATTTATTTTAATGCAATGTCTATACCTAAAATCTCTAATGGTGATACATTATCATATGTGGAGAAACAATATGCAAAGATTTTAAGATTAATGTTAAAAAGTTATATTGAAGTATTCAGTTGAGCTGGTATGTTATATATGTATAGGATGGTTGAAAAATGATACGAATGGCTTGATTTATAATGCTAAGTATAAATATATATAAATATAAATACATAATTTAGAATTCAAAGTTGTATGTTTATGGGAAATATGGATAATATTAAATGTATAATGTATATTGATAATATAACACCACGGATGTCATATTGCTATTGCTATAATAATAAACTATAACTGAAGGAATATCATTTTGATCAATGTTATATTTCTTTTTTTTTAAATTTTCTTTCCAAAATTTACTTATCAATTTTATTTTAAAAGGAGGGCGCTCTATGTTTGATATAGTATAACTGTAATTTCATTCTTATACGTTAATCTCTTACTTTAATTTTATTTTCGTTTTCTAAATTTTCTTTATTAAAATTTATAATAATGGGTGGACGTGGAGCTTTATTGGTTTTAGAAGGCTGTGATAAAGTAGGAAAATCGACTCAAGCAAAATTATTAGTAGAGGCATTAAATAATTTTAACATTCCTGCTGTAGGTAAATCCTTTCCAGGTTAGTTTTCTATTTTATGCCGATATCATTTAATTACTATAATATTAAGTATTAATATATTATAATATTATTCAGTAATTTGTATTTTAGTTATACATTCATAAATTTTGTCATATAAAAGGATTTATATCTTATTATTACAGTAGAAATTTTTGGCGGGATATTATGTCATATGATGACACATATCATTTATTTTTTCTTGTTTATCACTATGAAATTAATCGAAGAATATGCAAGAATAAGAAAACATTTAATGATATTTATATTTATAACACAATTCAACATGCTTTTCTTTTTAAAATGATTAATTTTATATAAATAATAACAATGCGGTCATTACCGACACCGCTTTCTGACGAATAAGCTTATAAGCAGAGCGCGCGAAATTTGAAATTTTCTGATATCGAACATGCTAAATATGTTGTATAAAAACTAACAAAAATCTAACTGTGAATGTAGAACTTATTTTTAATGTACAACTGTATTTTTGTTTTTTTGAAGATAGGACAAGTGAGATAGGCAAGTTGTTAAATAAATTTTTAAAAAAAGAAGTTGAATTACCGTTAGAAGCAGCACATCTATTATTTTCAGCTAATAGATGGGAATTTAAACAATATATTATAAAAACTCTTATGGAAGGAACTACATTGGTTGTCGATAGGTATAAATTATTGATCATAAATTTGAATCTTTATTTTAATATAAATTATTGATTAAAAACATTTTTCCCCTCAGTAGGAAAAAAATGAAAGAACATATATTTGTATTTTTGTAGATATGCATATTCTGGTGCAGCATATACAGCAGCTGCTACTGATAAAAGTTTGGCCTGGTGTCAGGAAGCAGATCGTGGACTTCCTTCTCCAGACTTAGTAGCTTTTTTCAGAATTAATGATCGAGTAAAAAAATTGGATACATGGGATGGAGAAAGATATGACAATGTACTATTTCAAGAAAAAGTATCTTTTAACTTCGACAGACTCAATGATGGCACTTGGAAAATTATAGATAGTAAACAAGATATATATACAATACATAAAGAATTATTAAACATTTCAGTAGATACTGTTCGAAATGTTACAAATCGTACTATAGGTCAATTATGAATTTTAATTTATTCATCAAAGGAATTCATTATAATATATAAATATCTTTAAATCTTTTAAGAATATATGTACAAATCAGACACGTAATGATTTAATATGTTCTATTATAAAATATACTATTTTTTTACAAGTTGAATGATCATTGAACGATAATTATATGATGCTTTTATATTTTTCACTTAATAAAAATCTTGGTTTATATTTAATAAATATTTTCTTATGAGATATATAATATTTCATTGTAATAAACAATATTAATGTAAAGATAATTAGCATTTGTTAAAATAATATATATATATATAATAAATTTGATAAAATATATTGTTCAAATTTCTTCACCATGTGAAATCAGCTTTATGTGTACATTCTCTGTTGAATAAAATATAAATTATTTAAAAAAGAAATGTGAACATTAGTAGGAATATTTGCGCTGGGTTTAAATGTTTGTACGTACGTGAACATCTGAACTGATTATAATCAAATGACATATCGCGTAGCACGGCTCGAAATTACATGCCTAGCAATGAATTCTGTTTACATTATGTTTGTCAACTTCGTGTTAGAAATGAAAATTTGTCACATTAATTATTTAAAAAATAAATTAATATAGCGTTGGGTGGAGGGTTGAGAAACTGCGGTAGAAGAGAGGTATTTTTTTAAGAAGAAAAAAAAAATACTGAAATTAATTACTCGCAAATTGAATAAATGAGAAATAGAAAATGCACAAACGCCATCTCAGTTTAATTCATTTTATTCCTTTTTTTCTTTAAAAAAACAATAATTGTTTTCTTTTGCATACAACAAGCATTGAAATTTATGTCTACGATAAATTTGTTATTATTGCTATTATTCTTTTTTATTGTTGTTGTTGTTGTTGTTGTTGTTTTCTGTTTCTCTTATATTTTAATAAAATACTTAAAAGAAGAAAGAGTATGTCTCCTTCGTAATAGAATTTTGTATCAGGTGAATAGGAATAGCACATTATATCGTGAAGATCGAAACATAAAATAGAATATTACTCGATGTTGGTACCAAAAGCGTCAATTTTTCTACCACTCCTCCAGTTATCCTGTCATTCATCAACGGATATACTGCCTAGAATAACACATACATATGCGAAGGATTTGTGCTTGTATCACTTAAGTAAACATCGGGTGCGCAGGTGCGCAAATACATACTTGTTTATGCTGTTTGCATATTCGCGAACATATGTAGGACGTAATTGTAACGTTACTTCCTTTGGATGCAGTCGTCCGTGATTAGATTTACTCGTGTCATTTTTAAAAACAAAAATATAAAAAAAAATAATAATAATAATACAGATTATTTTTTAATATATAAAAAAGAAACGAAAACAATAGTTCGCGTGAAAATTTTTTTATATTAAGTGTACACCGAAAAAATCGTAATTACACTGTGCAATTTTAATATTGTAAAAATGTAAGTACTATTATTTAATATTTGTAATTTCGCACGAGAATGAACAAAGTCTCTTCTCTATGCACATTTTTAAAAGATATCGAATAGGTGATGTTAGTAAACTTGTATTATTCTTTCATTCTGCTCGCACGTGTTATACTTTTTCACTTGATACAAAAAATAAAACAATATACAGAATTATAAATTTCTTATAATTTGTATAATAATATTGTATTGATATTTTAGATTTATTTGTCTGATACTAAATCGAAAATAAAATAAAATAAAATAAAAACAAGTGTTAAGATACTCAATATAAGATTTAAAAAAATTATTCAACATATATCATTTCTTGAATTTCTTCTTAGGAAAACTTCTTCGTGTCTAAGAACCATTCTGTAAGATTTTTATATAACGATCTTGAAAATAAATAATTTTATATCCAACCATAAATAATAAACACGGTACGGTTTTGTCTTTCCTATATTCTTTTAAAGAGAAAATATATTTCATATTGAATATAACGTATATATAAAGAGATCAACTTTTATCTTATATTATTTTTTAGATAAAAATAATACAATGGAATTTAAACCAAAAACATTTGATTTGGAGACTGCTTTCGTTACATCTAAAAGAAGACAATTGAAAAAATTTCGTGGTAGAGATTCACCACTTTACACTGCCATTTATCCGGCAGTTTACATATTACGAATTTTTGGATTTGTACCGTACACGTTTTCGAAAGATCGTTTGGTACCTTCCAATACTAATATGATATTTACATTTATTTTTTTATTCATTTTTACTTATAATATTTATACAATTATTGTGCAATTTTTAACTGAAAAGAGACAAGCACCTATCGTCGGTAGTACTGGATACATAAAGGTAATCAATTATAATTAAAAAATGAATATTATAATATATAAATCATATATATATAATAGGATTTTTTCTCTCATCGATTATCTTTCTTACTTTATGACAAGATTAATCGTACCACATGGATTCATGACCTACTACTTGAAACGATCATTTTTCATATTGACAAGGAAATTATATAAAATTATTTTCAATATCTCTATTGTTATTTTTTTTTTTATTACAGGTGTTATTTAATTATTTCACGACTGTATATAGTTTATTGTTAACGATAATATCGAGAAATAAATTTGTACAAATTTGGAATAATATGCAAGATTTTGACGATGCTGTTAGATTATTAGGATATCCGCAAAAGGAAACTAAAACTAGAATAGTATGTTGGTTGTTTATATTTATGAATATCATCTTATGGACAATGGTCAATCAAAGTGGGATGTACGCTTTTAAAGAAACCTGGTATGGCAATGTAACTTACATGTCCGTGTATTTTGGTAGTTGTTTGGCTGTGTACAAATTTATTGGAATGACACTTTTATTGGGTCAGCGATTTCATCATCTTAACCAGTTAACAAAGAAATTTATATCTTCCAAAAGATGCAATTCTCAACCAATCAAAATTGACGTTAAAGTACATATAGAAAATGTTTTCCTTAAAACTTCATTGAGATATCATTTTTAAAATTTTTTGTTTTGTTTTTTTTTTCAGACTATACAAGCATGGCACAACGAGCTTATGATTGACGGAGAAAATTTGAATTCTTTGTATACCTGGGCTATACTCTTATGGTTAGCCAATTTGAGTGTTCACAGTGTTAGCGATTTATATTTTATCATAGATAAAATATTAAACACTTGGGATGATTTTTATTTTCCATCGGCTGCTTGTTTAAGTAGTTGGTTCTTAGCACTTTTTTCTCAACTTTTAATATTACACATTTCTTGTGACTACGCTTCTACTCAGGTATATTTACAAATTTAAGATTTGAATTTTGATGATTTCAAACTAAATTCGAATGTTACAGTCTAACGGGATAGGTGAACTCATGATTGAATGGCAAGCTTATTTGATAAAAATCAATTCTTTGAAGGTAAATAAAAAAATCTATAAACTTGAAGTAATGTTTGTTTGTTTATTCGTAAAATATTTGCCTGCTAACAAAATTCTTAAGAAAGGGACCAGTCCTATTATATTTGAGCAAATTCCAATTCCCTAAAAAACCTTTTCTTTTTTATATATGTTCTTTTTTCTTGTTTCCTAATTTTCTTTTTTTTTTTTTTTTACAAAAGGAACCAATAGAAAGGTCACTAAATTATGTCAATAGAAAATTACAATTTACCGCTGCGGGATGTTTTAGCATCGAGTTACCATTGATACGTTCGGTAAGTCCAAATTTGGAATTTTTTTATTGTTAATCAATAAAAATATTTTACGTATTACAACAATACATGAGAAAATAAAAATCATTTCTAATAATAAAATATTATAATTGCAGATAGCATCATTGGTAACAACGTATTTGGTTATTCTCTTGCAATTGCATGAGTAGTATCGATTTTATATTCACCTAATTCTTTTTTTATTATTATTATTACCGTCATGATATTATAAAATCAGTCGAATCGCATTAATGTAACATTGTTTTGAGAACTGAAGAAGATTATAAAGGGTAAGAGTAGTTGCGATATTGATTTTACCTTCTACCACTGAATATATTTACACACACTATTCCAAGAACTTTTATTCTATTTTATATTTAATGAATTGAAATATAAAAAATGAGACTCATTAAAACGTATACTTGTGTTTATTATCTTTCGTTACATTAACTCATATGATGTTTGAATAAATAAATGGAAAAATATACAAACATTGCTTGAGGTTAACAAATTAGTATGACTGTCTACAACAAAAGTTTAAACATGAGAGAGAGAGAGAGAGAGAGAGAGAGAGAAAGAAAGAAGAAAATTATTGGAAGTAAAAAAGTGAAAGAGAAGCTTTAAATAAAACCAGAAAGCATTTATTTTTGTACAATGCAAAACTTTGGGGACTGCTACAAATTCATCTTGTTTTTACAAAAAGAAAAAAAAAAGAATTAGCAAGATCCAGAACAGATTTGGAAGAAAAAAAAGAAAGAAAGAGAAAGAAAGTTCATTGACACTATCTGCGATTGGCTTAACGTTAAAGTGTTGCATCTATTTTCTACATCATTGCTCTGGAAAATTGCTTTTTTCCACTTTTAAATTCTTCTTACTCCATTTTTGTGCTTTTTTTCTGTAAATAGTACGAATTTTACTTACCTACCATATATTTTTTATTTCTACCTAACATTGTAGTTTAAAATTCTTTTCTGTGTTTTCATAAAATAGTTATCAAATTAACAATAAAATCATTTTCGTTTTCAATTTGCAATTGTTAGTAGAATACCGCACTGAAATAATTAATAAAAAGCTTAGCAAAAAGCAACACTTTGGATACTTTCATTTTTACAAAATTAAAACAAAAAAAAAGCACTATACATATATATATATATATTAGGTCTATCATAAAATTCAGTCCATTTTGAAAATAAAATAAAATAATAAATTATTCATAATTTGAACAATTAATTAATTGAATTACTTTTGAACTCTTGCATTGCAACATGGTGGCAATTTGTATATTCCATTTTAAGAAATAGGGGCCTTACACCTAAAGTGACGAAAAATTGAACTAATGTTTTTTTTGAACGGACAATATTTTTCGGTAGACTTAATATAAATATTACACGTGTAATGCATATAATATTGTTGAATCAATTCGTTTATTAGCCATCATTAATTACACGAAATCGTAATTCCTATCAAAACCTATTTATCTATGTACATACTTAAACAAGTATGTACCTAACGTTTACGATTAATAGATCTATGAATATACTAACGTCAAAGAACATGATCTATCGTGTGTACGCGATCATTGTTGATTTATCTTTACTATGAACGAACGAACGAACAAGAATGTTCTTTGTACTCCAGTGACAAGTAGTTATATCAACGTTAACTCCGACAACCATCAGACTTGTTCACATTTTCAAATGAAATTCTAATCAAAACGTTTGATTTTTTTTTATCGTCATAGTTTTCACGTATAACAAAAAACAAAAAAAAGAAGCTGTAAGAATTATTACTATACTTTTTATAAAATGAAAATCATTCCATCTTTTCAACATTTTACCACATTTTCTTTATCAGTTTTCTTCTTGGAAAGGTGTGGCATGAGACATTTATTTCATAGACGACCATAGCGATCTTTTATGCGACTTGGTTTGCTTCCGTAAAACAACGATAGTGTTGGCGACGAACATAACGACGTCAACGACGTCGCCCCCGACGACGACGACGACGACGACGACGACGACGACGACGACTATGACTACGACGACAATAATCTACGTCATGAGAGGGGCTTAAATGATCCTGCGTTACGGGACAACGCTTTTTAATAACTTTTCTCTACGCAGTCGTGGCATGCATTTAGGATCATCGCACCATTTATTATTCACGAGATAAACATTCCTTTATTTCTGTTTATGAATTATTTCAAATATATTTTCTTTTTATTAAAGTATTCTTTAATATATATATATATATATATATCAAAATAATGAATTTTATTTATTAAGTTTAAGCAAAAGTTAACCATGCGTTTTGAACACGTTCCATGCCAAGTATACCATTGATGGTACACGTTAAATTTGATCTTCAGGCCACATGTACCACTTGTGGTACACTCAGATATATTTATTTAATATACTGAAAATTAAATGGCCTGAACGACAAGTCAGGTAAAAAGATTGATTATATATAATAGCTTCCATTTTTTCGTGCAACTTTTATTGGAGTGAATCTTTTAGAAATACAATTAACACAAAGTGTTTTAATGTGGTTTCTATAGTTCCAGGTTGATATAGAAAGTTAGGGGGTTAATTAATTCAAGATTGTACGATTGGATTTGAAACTAAAGAGGATTGTATCTGACAAAATAGTCAATAAAGGATGCTGCACGTGTATTCCAAGTGTGTGTCTGTAAGTCTTGTTACCTATCATCAAATCTTTTAGAAATACAATTAACACAAAGTGTTTTAATGTGGTTTCTATAGTTCCAGGTTGATATAGAAAGTTAGGGAGTTAATTAATTCAAGATTGTACTTGAAGATTGTATTTGAAAATAAAGAGGAACGTTTGTATTTGACAAAATGGTCAAGAAAGAATGCTAAACGTGTGTACTCCAGGTGTATGTTTGTAAGTCTTATTACCTATCACCAAAAAATATGTTTTATATAAAAACAAAAACTGATTATCAATGTTTTAATAAATATAAATAAATATAATAATATTAAAAAAGAATATTATAAAATAATTTAATATAAAAATATATTAACACTTTCATTGGCCGCACGTCTACGCAGTCAAAATTCACCAGGGAGCAGTATAATATTTTTGAAAAATTAATTTAAAAAAAACTGAAATTAAATTTACGAAAAAATTAACATAAAAAAAACAACAACAACAATTTAACAACAAATTTAATTTTATTTAATTTTAAATATATATATAAAGTTATAAAGAAAATAACGGCCAATGTTCCGGCTATCACACACACACACATGTTTTGTGAGCGGCCATTAAAGTGTTCATATATATTTAATAAAATAAAATAAAAAAATATAGAAAAAAAAGAAAAGAAAAAGGAAATTCTGTTCCGTTCCGTTCCGCGAAATTCAAATCTCATCTCGTAGAATCTCGTAACGTGAAATTAGAATCTAACGATTGCAAGCTCGCAAGCTCGATCGATCAACGTAGTTGCTTTATTGCCTCGTGACTTCAACTTCGTTTCGTATCAAATAAAGCTAGTTATCTACGTTTTTTTCTCTCTCTCTCTCTCTTACTCTTACTCTTTTTATATCCTTTATACTCTCTCAATCAACTGACAATTTTTTTTTTGATAAAATCTGAATGTTCTCCTCGTATATCGGTGAAATAATTGATATTAAATTTTTATACCAAAGTTTTCGTTTTTTGAACGACAAAGGATGAACAAATTTATCTCATGTTAAAAAAATTGGATGATAAATGTTATTTTTTTTTTTTTTTCTTTAATATTAATGGGAAAAGCATTGGATCTTTATAAAATATTAGGTGAATCGAAAAGTAATGGCCGTTACTACGCATGTCAAATTATTTCAAATATTTTAAATAAAAACAAACGATTGTGTGATGATTTTTATCGTTACGATAATAAATAAAAATTTGCATGCTATGTTCTCGATAACGTGATTAATTAATTTGGTTAATTAATTTAATTATTGTTTTAATAATAAAAAATTATTTGAAAAATTTCTTTCTTTCAATTTTGAGGTTAAAAAGCGACATTTACTTTCCGATCAACCACCTAATACAATGTTCGTTTTCTTTTTCATTGGTTATAAAAAATTTATCAGGGATATTATTAATGCGTTTAATATATCTTTCCAGGGGTTTGGGGGATTGGGAAGGGGGTGGACTTGGGTGTGAAAAGGATAGGGATGAAATAGGGAGACACATTGCAGGTGATGAGAAAAAATAATGGTATCAATATACGATAAATATTACATAATTGTCGTAAGAAAGGGAAAGAAAATAAAATACAATTATACCTGTATAAATATACGGTGTCTCGATGATTATATTGTACTAACCTAAATAACCGAAAAGAAAACAAAAAATATACAAATTTATTTCATTTTACATAAATTATTTCGATAATAAAATTCATTTGCTCAATTGTTTCTTTTTTTTTTTTTTTTAATTAATCCATTTGTATAATTACCAGTACACATATTTATGGGGGCGTGTGTGCGTGCGCGTCTATACGTAACACCGTATTAATTATTAAATACCTTATTAATTGAATTTCATATTAGAACGTATATATATTTTAATGACACAATTTAATTATCGCGCAACGTAAATTAATCTGATAGAATAATCAAGTTCTATCAAGTAGAAAATGATAAAAAAAATCTAGCAAAACCACCCTCAAGGTTTCGTTTATTATTTAACCTTTGTTATTTGAAAAATTAAACATCATTTTCTAGGTTTTTAAGAGAACATAGAACGAAAAGACGATCGTTAAAATTAATTAGGTATGTAACTGTCAACGATATCTATTGGCTATCGAGTGGTTATAAACGATAGGGTTGTGAAATTTGAAAGGGGATGGGTGTTGGGGGTTAGAGGGTGAAACTCTAGCTAGCTACCAGCATCGATACGAACCGAGACGTTATTAATTATCGAAATTATCGAAGGCTCTTACTAATCTCATTGCTGAAACGGTGGTGCTGATGGGGAGGGGGGGGGCAGGTAAGGGAGGAAAGCTTTACGAGAAGCCAAATGATGTTATTGCGTCTGAGAATGTCTCTCATATATTTGCACCGATAAGATGGACCGTGCAATTTGCATTCTGAGATTTCTCAAACGTATGTATGTGATTGAGTATAATTATACTCGTGATATCTGGACATTTATCTAACACCCATTATCTTAGAGGTACTACGTGATTCATTTGCATTTATATTCAATAAGTTAAACGGTTATCAATTATCATCCCGACATGTTAAACGTAAGTTATATTCATGTATATTGAATTTAAAATAAAAATATTATTTTGAACGATTAGTTGGATTTAGGGCCTCTTGGGAAAGAGAGGAGAGAATAGAAAGGAGTAGATATTTTTTAAAGATGGTTGACCT